TACCCCTCACCTGACACTGACAAGCAGAGGTCTTGGGGAAGCTGTGGAGCAGAGCAGCTGGGGTGCTGCCAGGCGCCAAGCAGGGGGCTGAGGGGTGGCGCTGCAGGACCAACCGGGCAGCACCCCAGCTGCTCTGCGCCTCTTCCCCAAGTCCGCCACTGGTCAGTTTCAGCAGCAGCAGACTTGGGGAAGTGGCGCGGAGCAGCTCTAATTGTCCAGCTGGCCGGAGCACTACCAGGTTCCAGTTGGTGCCGGACTATCGGGAGTGCCAGACCACTGGATGCTGGACAATTGGACTTTTACTGTAGAACAAAATATACATAAAGGCATGAAACCAAACAAATGAGCTGCTGCCAAAGGCCAGAAGACCCCTGGTTACCACCTAATATAACTGCTGAAATAATCTCAGACTGAACAGGGGGAAGGATTAGGTGTAAACTGGGAGGCTGCCTAGCTTGTGAGAAAAGGTGTTTAAGAAACTTGTTACATGCCATTTTTCTAGAGTATTAAGCTTAACTGATGTGTTTTGTTTTATTTTGCTTAGTAACTTACTTTGATATGTCTGCTATTACCTGCAACCACTTATATTCTACTTTTTATACTGTTAATAAAAATGTTTTATTCAAACCCAGTGTGAATAATTGTTACCTGGGGGGCAGGGGACTATCTCTACATAGCTCTCTTTCACTGGTAAAGGGGGCAAGCATGAGAGCTCACTCTGTATAAACTTTATGCATAGGGGCTTGTTCCCATTGGGGCTGTACACCTGAATGCTGTGTTAAGTCCATTTGACTGAGCCTTCCCAGAGCTGGGTGGATCTCAGTGTCCGTGGCACTGTTCTGTGGGATGTGAACCCAGCCCTGTGCTGCAGCTAGGGGAGACCAGAAGTTCAGGCCCAACAGAACAGTGAGAGCAGGGGAGGGGAGCATCCCAGAAGTCTGATAAGCAGACTCAGTGGTATTTTCAGCATGTCAAGCAACGGTCTCAAGGGGATTCCTGAAACCAAACCTGTTACAACCAATATAGCTGAAATCATTCAAGCTGGATTAACATGGAGAAACCTCAGCCCAAGACCAGAGAGCACTTCCTGGAGGGGCTGGAGGTAAATATACCCATTTACACTCCTGGACTCAGGAACTACATGACCTACCAACACCAAACCATGAGTGGGGTGTAGCAGAGGTGCAGAAAGGTGTTAAAGCAACGATACTCGGACTGAGGCTCTCCAGCTACAAGAGATTCTTTAATACATCTCCTGTGGCTCTTTCCAGCACATGACATTAAAACACTATGTGACTGAATACAGAGCACTTTAGTAAATGAAACAATGGTGTCCCAGCTTTGGGGCTCTTGGGTACTGCTGATAGCTAATTTGCCTCCTGAAGCACCGAGGTCTGAGTACCCCTATGTTAAAAGGACACTGGATTATTGGATATAGGTGGGGAACTGTGTTAAAGGACAAAGACGTTCGAGGAATGGGTTTGGAAGCTTTGGTTTTGTTTTGGGGGAAGGTTATTTTGTTTGTTTTTTGTAGGGGTTTTTTAACTTATTGATTTATGTGTATTGTTGCTGTATTTCCCCAAATTGATTGTGTGTCCTCTTATGTCCTTGTTTTATACACAGACACAGTAATTGTAAGGGAGGGAGAAGTACCACTTGTTAAGGACACCCAAAGAAGATGGTTTTAGGGTGGGGGCCTCAATGTGGTGGTGTCCATTGGTATTGAAAGGAACCCCAGTCCTAGCAGCTGTCAATAACACATGAGGAAAAGTTTACACTTATATAAATGGGTTGGAAAAAAACTTTTCCCACTCTTTGCACTTAAAGATACAAACGGGACCCAATTACCCTGGTACCATGTCACCTAACTGCCTCACAGCCTTGCAATGATCCCCTTAGCACAAACAATTTGGTTGTGGAGCCCTTAGCAAGTTAGCTTCTTTCTGGCACAAGGGAAAGCCAGGTAGGTCCCTTTCATCTATCAGCCTTCAGCACTATCATGAGCTGATCTTTCCAATAAGGGCAGCAGCAACTCCTCCCTAGTGAGGGGAAACGAGGCTATTTAGAAGGAGATGAGACAGTAACAGGAGACCCTGCCATAGGCAGGATAACAGGCCAGCATCTGCCAGTCAATGCTGGGACCAAAAGCAGCCAGCATAAGTAAGACAGCTCTGCCACTCTCCCTCACAAAGCATCAGAGTCAGTAGAACACAGTAAATCTGGTCCTCAGAGTCTCTGTTCCTTCAGGCAATGGTCCAGACTGGCATCATCATCCTTATGCCATCACTCTAGCACATACCCACCCTACTGTTATTGTTGTTGAAAGTCACATATCGTCCCACCTCATCCACCTCTCAGCTCCTCCTGTCCCAGGGTCTGACTCCTATTACTGCCATGCCACCTGCCTACCCAGAGTGGAGAGGCCTCTGCAGGGGGCGGCACACTGAAGACTTGGCTTTCCACAACCAAAAGTTCACCTAGAGAAGCCAAGCTAGGGAGCTGCTGAGAGAAAAAAGTAGCATGACAGGTGCCCGCCTGATGCACAGCTGCCAACAATGCTGGGACATTCAATTGAACAGCACTTACCCAGGACAGGAGTTTCACAGGCAAAGACCATGCAAGCCATACCAGGTGTGTTCACAGCTACTGCATACTAAACTCCATCTTGGCTGGCAGACCAGAAATGGGATGGGACCCTAGAGCTAAAAGCAGAAGCTGATGCTAAAGGGACTAGACTCTCCAGCTGGGGTTGTAACAGACTTGTATCCTCCTTGCAGCAGGCACAGAGGAGCACCTCTGACACACTGACTTGTGGATCACACCAACAGAGACGGTGATTTCTTTAGTGGTTGGAGCCTGTGCTTTTGGAGCAGCAGCATGTAAGCGACATCAACTCCAATTGACTGCAATGGGAGCTGCTGGACCCTCCACTCTCTCAGATCAGGCTACTCTTTTAATAGCCCATGTACATGCAATTAGTTGAGGAATTTATTGAAGTCAAAACCATCCTTGACTTCAATGGGAGCACAATTGGGCTAGTGCAGAGTACTTGAGGTTTTTTTTTTTTTTTTTTTTTTTTTTTAAGTCTTCTGACTTTAGGCCCCAACTTTTTAAAATCTTGGCCATACTGTAGTAATCAACAATATTGTGATTACACTCTTATGAAAGAGTTTTTAGAAATCTTTAGCAGCATCATGAGACTGTGTTTACAGGGTTAAGTATTGAATAAATATTAATAACTTACAATACCATCATATTGTTAACCAAATATTGTCTTTTAAAAACAAACTCTTGCCCATTAAAATAATAAAATAGTAACTTGCATCTTAAATGAATACACTACTCATGTACACTCTCAGTTCTCTTATGTTTTAATATGATAAAACAAAGGCCAATTCTCCAATATTTTAGTTGGATACACTTTAAATATTGGTAGAATCTATTGTATTTAATATGTAACATGTGCCTGGAAAATAAGAGTCTCTCTCCAATATGGGAATTTTCCATTGCTTCCCCAACCCCCACTCCCCAATACTGTAGTACGTAACAAGTGACCAAAATAGCCAGGCATAAAACATCTGGGAGACAAAACACATACAGGAAAATACAGCAGAAGGGGAAGATTCATGAAAACAGGAAACATTAAGAGGAGAGTGAAAATATGTCAAAACAAAGGAGGTAATAGAGCATCAGGGTGAATAAGTTCACCAATCAGCAGAAGTTCCTCAAGAGTCTTCAGAGACTAGTAAGGTGACGTATTCCCCCCATAAAATGACAGGAACCTTTTTAACCTCCATTTTACATTCACACTATAGTAGTCTCCCTTTAAACATGCAAGCTTTTCCCTGTAAACGTAAATTAGGTTCTCTCTATTTTTTGCAGTAGGCCCTATGTGTTATGATAGAAAACAGTTAAATTTAAAAAAACCAACACTGACAATGGAAGTAATGTTAGTGTGTTATCAAAGCCGATTGGTTACCATAATAGGTGCACTCTGCATGTTATTTAAAACTAAATAAAATTGTGCAAAACAATGTGTAAATACTCAGACTCAAAATGGCTGTTTGGTTCTACTTAAATCCATTGCTTCCTTGCAAATCTCATTCAAACAGGTATTTGTTTGCATTGATATTTGGGGGACTAGCTGATCTGTGCAAATGCCCCCACACT